TATTTTATTTTTCTAGTAATTCATTTTTTTTATTATGTTATGTTAGTCACCATACAGTACATCATTAGTTTTTGATGTAGTGGTCCTAGATTCATTGTTTGTGTATATCACCCAGTGCTACATGTTTGATGGGAATTTTGTTAAATTTTTAAAAATATTTTAAATTTTGGGGAACACCTGGGTGGTTCAGTTGGCTAAGCGTCCAGCTCTTGGTTTCGGCTCAGGTCATGATCTCAGGGTCATGGGATGGAGCCCCGCATCCGGCTTTGCACTCAACAGGGAGTCTGCTTGAGAGTCTCTCTCTCCCTCTGCCCCTCCCCCCACTTACGTGAGAGTGTGGTCTCTAAATAAATAAATAAATAAATAATAAAATCTTTAAAAAATATTTGAAATTTTAAATGATTATAGATTCACGGAAGCTTCAGAAAACATACAGGGAGGTCACATGTACTTTCACCCAGTCTGCTCCAGTGATATCTAAACCAAGAAATTAACATTGGTACAATCCACAGAGCTTATTTAGATTTCCACAATGTTGCATGCACTCATTTGAGTGTGTGTGTATGTGTGTGTGTATAGTTCTATGCAATTTTATATATCTACAGATACATGAATTCATGTGTATTATATGTATAGATCCTCTGCTACAATCAAGATGCACAATGATTTCCTACCCCAAGGCTTCCTCATGCTACCCCCTTTGTAGCATGATGTCATTAAGCTCTGACAATCACTAATCTGTTCTTCATCCCTACCATTTTATTTCAATAATGCTCTATAAATAGATTTGTATAGTCATAACTTTTTGAGATTTTTTTTTCACCCCACATGAGTAATAAAAGCATGAGATCTATTCAAGTTATTGTGTATTTCCAACCTGTTGGTTCCTTTTTATTTCTGAGTAGTATTCCATGGTATGGATGTGCCACAGTTTGCTTAATCAGTCACCCATCGAGTCACCCATTTGAGTTTTTCCAAATTTTGGTTGTTATGAATAAAGCGCTATGAATATCCTAGTACAGGTTTTTGTGTGAATATAAGCTTTCATTTCTCTAAGATAAGTGCCCAAGTGTGCAATCGCTGGATTATACGGTAAGGCATATTTAGTTTTTATGAAACTACCAAACTATTTTCCAGAGGGCCTTACCATTTTACATCCCCACTAGCCCCAATTTATAAATGATCCAGTTTCCCCACATGTTTGCCAGTATTTGGTGTTATCACTATTTTTTTATTTTAGCCACTGTGGTATGTAATGATATTTCATTGTGGTTATAATTTGCGTTTGTCTGATGGATAATCATGTTGAACATCTTTTCATGTGCTTATTTGCAATCTGTACGTTCTCTTTGGTGAAATATCTATTCAACCCTTTTTCCCTTTTTCTATTTTTCTTTTTACCGTTGAGATATAAGGGTTCATTATATATTCTAGATATAAGCCCTGTGCCAGATACATGGTGTGTAAATGTTTACTCCCAGTCTGTAGTTTATCTTTTCATATTCTTTACAGGGTATTTTGCAGAGGAAAAGGTTTTAATTTTGATGTAGTCCAGTATGTGTGTGCATGTGTGTGTGTGTGTGATACTTTTAGTGTCAAATCTAAGAACTTTATTGTCAAATCTAGCCCCAGGTCTTAAAGATTTTCTCCTATGTTTTCATCTGAAAGTTTCATATTTTACATTTTGCATTTAAGTCCATGATCCATTTTGAGTTCACTTTTATAATTTTTTAAAGATTCTTTTAAAAAGAGGCATGCGTCCTTATCTTTGTCTTAAGCTTTACCTATTCACCTTGATCGTGTAACTAGCTCAAAGCAGCATAACCAAAATGTAAGTTGAAGACTTCTCACAGAGGAGTGAGCCTGCAAATTTCTTCTTTTATACTTACCATGATTTCTCTACCTAAAAGGTAAATTTAAAAATATGATTCCCAAACCAACCCCTCCTAAACTCATCAGCCTCTGAAATGTTTTCTAGTATAAATTTGCTAAGTGGTTACTCCTATGTTATGACAAAAGATAACTGTAATATTTCCTAACATTCGCATTCTTTTAAATTTTAAAATTCTCTGAGAAAAATGCCCATCTATCATCTTTAAAGCCAAACTTTAAGCTGAACTAAAAGTGAGATTCTCCTTCCTGTTTTTAAGTTCTTTCCTGGTAATTGGACACATGTTTCTTGAAGAAAAGAATATTCTCTACAAATTGTCCCAAGAATGAAAAACCCCTCTTCTTTATTATTACTTTTAGCTAAAACTCCATGTTTTTATCTATCTTTTTCCACAGACACATTTCCAAGGCCAAATAGCTCAGTTCCTCCAGGATGTAGTGATGCTTTTTCCTACCATCCCAGGGTCAGGGGTGATTTTGCTCTTGTGAGAGGATTTTAAAAAAACCAACATTACAACTGAGGATAATAGCTTCTTAAAAGTTTTCTGAAGGGCTAAGAATCCAGGAGCTTTAAAGTATTCTTGATTGAAATAATTTAGCCCTTGGAACCAGAATCAGGAAATTAGAAAAACAGGCTCATTTTCCTTAAGTCTTAGATTAGGACTTCCAGTGGTAAGAATGTCTACCCAAAAGCTAAGTAAATCAACTAGGTCACTAGACTTGAGAGAAAAAATATACAGTGAAGCAGAGCACGCCATGGCGATGGTAAAGACAATTGGCAATAGATCGTTTGACCCGATCCAATTATACAGAAGGGCAGTATCTAGTGTATGGAGAACACCTATTGTATAAAGGTCATTTCATTTGTGTTCCAGAAATTAGGATGAAATTGAAAAGTATGGGGACACAGAGAAAACTGAGTTAACTGTGATTTTCTTTCAGCCTGGACCACTCACCCGCTGCCATCACCACCCATAGTATTACAGGAAGCATACCTCTAGCCACAGTAAATATTTGAGACTCAAATCCTTTGGAGATCAAACCAGAGAAGCGATAAATCAGAGGGATGTCATCTCTAGCCTAAACCAAGAGGAATCAGCATACATATATGAGAGACATCCAGATATCCTTTCTATATCCTCACTCAGGTGATGAAGATGCCTCCATCTATGCCAACAAGGTAGAGACCATCTAAATTGCAAACCTGGAAATAGTGTCATATGAGAAAAATCTGCAGAAACAGAAAGGGAATTTATGGCACATGCAAACAGAAGGAGTGTTCTCATGGTCATAGAAATGGGCAAATACAAGAAATAATTAATCCATACTTATCTAATAGCATCCAAATGATAGAAGCTCAGTATCTGTTGATGTTGTCAATTTATTCTTCAACCGATCAATATTTAATATGCAACCACTATGTGCCAAGTACTGTGTAATGTGTAATACATACAGGTTTCCTTACTCTATGGAGCTCACAGTTATGGGTATAACAGGAATTTTTAAAAATATATACATAAATATAGATATCGACATATGTCTATATTAATTACAATGTTTCTTTTTGTCTTGGTCTTTGGAGAAAGCTCTCAATACATGAGAACACACTTAGAGAGACCACAACACAGGCTTGAGGATGCTTGCAAAACATATACAAAACCCAACTGTTAAACTTTCCTTAGCCTATTATCCAGACATATGAGATATATGAGAAAACTGAGAATTCCCTAAGGGGTTGGAGAGAATAGGAGTGAATCTGTGGTGTTGTGCTATTTCCAATCTTCCTCCAGCCACATTAAGGGAGAATCAAGAGATTGCTCAGAAAGCCTGAAATGAGTGTCATGGAGTTTGGAGGATTTAGAGGGTCACGCTAGGTTGCAACAACAATTTCTCTCACTTTACTATGTTTATGTCCAGGGTGCTGACTATTCTGTTATTTTTACCTGTGTATATACATGACATCCCAGTGACATACTTTTTTTAACTGAGTGTAAAGAAAGAGAGAGTAGATGGTGAGGCCTGGTACAGAGATATACATATGTGAGTCATAGAGACATGAATAAAATGTCATATATATAGAGAGAGAATAACATAAGGAGAGGAGGTGGCCCAGGGCTAACCCTTGAGGACTTCCAACAGCTAGTGATTGGAAGGGAGATGAGAGTGTGCACAGGTGTCAAAGTGGTTCATCAGAGAAAAGGGAGAGAAAGTTTTAAGAGTAAGTGATCACAAGAGTAAGTGGTCACAACTCAGTGTCAAAAGTTTCTGAGAGGTCAGCTATGATGAGTACTGAAAATTTCTGTTGATCTACAACACAGAGGTCATTCGTACTCTTTCTGATGGCTTAACTAGTGGAGGAATTAAAGCCAGATGTATCTAGGCCCTTTAATCCAGAAATTCCAACATATATGCCAAAAGCAGTATGTAATTATGTTCACCAAAGAACACTATAAAAATATTCATACAACACTGTTGATAATAGCCACGGACTAGAAAAATCCAAATAACCATTTAAGTAGGAGATGGCTAACCGGTAGTGTACTAACACAGCAGTGAAAAGAAACTAAACTGTACACAACATGGCTGAATCTCAGAAATAGAATATTAAGAGAAGAATCCAGATAGGATAGAAAAAATACAAACTTTAGTCTTTTATTTATATAAAGTTCAAAACCGGACAAAACGAATCTATCTATGGGATTGTGGTGTCCCTGGAAGAGAATGTAGTGACCAGAAGAGGACATAAGGAGGGGGGGCGCACTGCAGAGCAAAAGTGCATCCATATGACAGAGCAGCAGACTCAGCTTCAGGCTGTGGAAAACACTAAATCCTTCAAATGACGCTTCCTAGAGTCCCTTTTACAACACCAGGACAGATTTGGGCACCGTATGACCACCTTTGGCACTACGGGTCGAAACAGGGAAGCCATTTAGATTTTGGGTCTTCCATTTTAATGTGATCATCACCACCAAGTTTTTTTAAAAATCTTTTGCTAAATGATCTACTGCAAGGTAAAGAATTGAAGATAAAGATGCTTTTGTTGAATGACACTGTTCGATATGTTCTCTGAGCCAGAAAAATCGCATTTTCCTTCGAGTGAAGCATTCACCTCAGAACCCCCACCACCCCAGGCACAGCCCCTGCTTCCTCCTTCCGCTCTGCCACTCTCCCAGGTGTTCAGAGGTGGGGGATGCCTCCTGTGGAGATCTGAGGTTTTTGTGGGGCTCCCACCGGTGCTGCATCACTGTGGTGTCTCTCAGAGCACAGAAGTACACTGCTGAGTCCATAGGTTGTAATGCCATGATGGTGAGGCTGATGGAACGGTCTGATTTCTGGAAGTTCAGAGAATACCGACCCTCTTTTGCATTCTGCTCCTGTATGACTCCTGATGAATAAGGAAAATCATTTCTCCACTTGGTGGTTGTTTGTACCAGAATAAATAATAACTAGAACCACTAACTTCGTATACACAATCCAAGGTCACAGCCTCATTCTCCAGCGTAGAAATGGCAGGCTGGGCTTGAGTTACCTTCTGTGTCATGCCGGATCCTGCAAAAAGAAAAAAGAGATAATTAAGCTGATTCTTCTGGTAGTATCCCTAGGGTTTTAAGGAACTCATGTAGGACTGAGAGTTCTGATTCCCCTGCCCATTATTCCCTCTCCTAAACCCCACCAGACAGTAATAACCCCACCTGTCTCTACTCCCGGACTCAGGACTCAGAGGAGCTTGAGTCTGTGTCTATGGCCATCCTTCTTAGCCTTACCAAGGCAGATGGAGGCTATGACTACTCTCAGCAGACTGGGGAGCAGCATGTTGGAAGTGCTTCCTCTGAGTGAAATGTGTTTGCTCTGTCTCAGATTCAGGTCTAAATGCCTGCCCTGTGACTCACAGGGCACACACACCATTACTGAGCTATAAGAAGCTTCTGTGCCACAACAGGAAATGCAGCTTGTTATCCATGGGCTTGTGTCATGCTGTGGCTTGTTTACATGGTGGGAGAGTCTAACTTGTTTATTTAGTCTTTTTGTAATTTAATTCGCAACCATTATATCTGGACATGTGTATGAGTTAAATGGAATTGTAGGACATTAATATTAATTCAACCGTTTGCCATCTTCAACGAGTGCATCTACGATGGACTGGTAAGTTTCAAAACAAATACAATTTCTTATGATTATGGTGACTTCTGAGGACAAATAGTCATCCATCTTTTTGTATAGTGTATGCTTTTATTTTTTTTGCCTCCAGCCAAATCTGCAGTAAAATATACTCACAGATTTTTCTTCTAGACAAGAAGATAAAACTATTCACTCTCAATTGTCATAACTTTTCTTCCTATACTCCAAGGCATTGGTTTCTAAGGAAATTTCCGCTGGATAAAGTTTCTTGTCTGTTTAATGCTACAACAGTAAGTTTCCTGATTGACAAAAATTGTCCAGCATCACGTGTCTAACAGCAGTCAATAGTAAGTGTGTTAGAAAAATCTTGCTTTCGAATATTGCACCCTCCAGTCGAAATAAGGTCAAATTCACCAGACCATGAATTCTTATTTTCTTATATCAAAAATGTAGCCATTCAAAAATTGCAAATATCTTTTCAGCTCTCTGCTGCAGCTCAGAGGATTTCACTGGAAACAGTAGCTCAATAGCTTTGTATTTTCACAGCGTGGAAGTTGGTGACTGATTTGCTTGGCATCAGTGTGCTGATTTATGACCGTGATTCAGTCAACTGCAGCTTTTAATCACCTATTTATTTTCTCTTCCCTAAGTGAATGTATCAATTTAGTGACATCTAACATCCATGTTATATTATGAGAAAATGGAATTTTTTAGGAGTCCAGGATGGTCCAACTATCAGAAAATGGTTGTCTCTAAGAGGAGGGGTTTGACTGGAAGGAGGCACAAGGGGACTTCTGAGGTGAAGGAAATGTTTTATATATTGTTTTATTCCTTAGGTATATATAACTATCAAGACAGACTGGACTGATCTATGCATTTCATTGTAGAAAAAAATTATACCTCTATAAAAAATAGTGAGCCACAGTAAAATAAAATGTGTACAGAGAAAATTAATTTGTTCAGCTTTCTGTAAGTTTTGCAGAAATTTATTTATATTTTTTAGTTGTTACAGAACAGCTGTGGTCTGTCTGCTGTGATTATGGTATACTCCCAACCCTTCCGACAACAGCCTGAGACTAGGAAGCAACAAAGACTAGCTGGACCTTAAAATGCTGAGAGGCTAAATATATACAAATGAGATGATTATACAAAATACAGTTCTCAGAATAAATATCTCCACAGCTACACATAATTATAGGAATAAATCTCACAAAGGTAAGATTGTATAAAAGAAGCCAGCTACAAGACTACATGCTAAATGATTCTGTTTACATAGAATACAAAAGCAGAAAAAACTATTCTGTGCAGTCAATGTCAGGATAGTGGTTACCGAGGGTGGTAGAGACAGGGGGCAGGTACAGGAGTGGCCTGACACATGGGTGATGCCCTGTTTTTCCATATTGGTGCTGGTTACCTGGGTGTTTCCAGTAAGTGACAATTCATCTAGCTCTGTAATTATTCAGGTGCACATTTCTCCGTGTATGGGTTATTTTATTTATTTTGGTTCTTTTTTATTGAAGTATAACTTATTTACAAAACAATGCACAGTCCCTATACGTGCATTTCAATGAGTCTGAGTATTTTATATACCCATGTAATCACCACCCAAACAAAATCGAGAACATTTATTTCACCCTAGGAAGTCCCCTTGTGACCCTCTCCAGTCAAAGTCGTTTTTTCTGTTCTTGAATTTCATATAAATGGAATCATATTTGGTCTGGGAGGAAGGGTCTGGCTTCTGTCAGTTACTGTAGATTTTAGAGATCCATCCTATTGTTGTGTGTATCAGTCAGTGGTTCATTCTTTTCTATTGTAGAGTAAGATTCCTTACATACCATTAATTGTTACCTATTCTGTTGATGGACGTTTGTGTCATTTCCAGTTTGTGGCAAATATGAATAAGCCCACAACAAACATTTTTGTATGGGTCGTTTGTTGGTCTGTGTTTTCACTTCTCTTCAGTAAATATCTATTTCTGGACTTGTTGGGCCATAGCTGTTCCCCAAAGTGATGGTACCAATTTCCCTTTTACTAGCAGTGCGTGGAAGGTCCAGTTGCTCCATGTATTTGCCAGTATTTGAGGTTGTCGCATGGTTTGTTTTTAGGTCTTCTAGTGGGAGTAAATAGCATCTGCATATGAATTAGAATCTTCGTAATGATTAATAACATGGAACATATTTTATGTACTTATTAGTCATCCTATTTATGTATTTTATTATTGTGTTATCTTTTTATTGTTGATTTGTGGGAGTTCTTTATATATTCTGGAAATAATTCTTTTCCAAATAATTCTTTCTGGAATACTTCTGTCTAGACTTTAGATGGCTTATTGATTTTCTTACTATTGTTGTTTGATGAGTAGAAATTTTAAATTTTGCTCATGTCCTACTTCTCAAACTTTCTGTTATGGTTAGTATATTTTCTACCATGCCAAGGAATCTCTGCCTGCCCTGAGGTCTCAAAGATATTCTCTGCTGTTTTGTGCTATTTTTAGGAGTAGCATTTGAGATTAAAATGAGCATCTTAATTTATCCTAGCCTGCTTTTAAATAATATTATTTCCCTTTATGAAGAAAATGTGTTCCTGTTGCATCTGAATATGCTATAAGAACACAATACATTGTTTTTATGTTGCTTTAAAGAAACAGCTCTCTCTCTCTTTTTTTTTTTTTTGAGAGAGAGAGAGAGAGAGAGAGCTGGGGGTAGGGAGAGGTGGAAGGAAAGGGAAAGAGAGAATCTTAAGCAGGTTACATGCCCAGCGTGGAGCCCCACATGGGGCTTGATCTCACAACCCTGAGATCATGACCTGAACCAAAATCAAGAGTCAAATGCTTAACCAACTGAGTTACTGAAGCACCCCAGAAATAGTAGCTTTTTAAAGTAAGTGAAGTTATTAAAATTACCAACAAAACTTTAAAAAATTTACTTAGGTATCTACCCTTTCTATATTCTTTGTTTCTTTTTGTGAATCTGCGTTTCCATGTGATATTATTTCCCTATAACATGAAGAACTTCAACATCTCCTGGACTGCAGGTCAGCTGGAGATCAATAATCTTTGATTTTGTCTCTCTGAAAATATATTTATTTTTAAAGGATATTTTTGCAAGTGAGAGAATCTTAGGTGATCATATTTTGATTCTTTTAGCACTTTGAAAATGTTTTATTGTCTTCTTATTTCTACTGGTTTTGGTAGTCAGTTAGTTATTATTTGTATCTTTGTTCCTGCATGAGTGTAATGTGTCTGTCTTTCTCCTTTGACTGCTTTTTAAGACCTGATCTTTATTTAATATTTTTTTCCAGAACTTTGGCTGTGATATACCTAGATGGGACCTCCTTTGTATTTATTACACTTGGGATTCTCTGACCTTTAATCTGTCCATTAATAACTTTCTTCACATGTGAAAGTTCTCAGTCATTATCTCTTTAAATACATTTTTTTTGCTCCATTCTTCCCCTTCCTTGTGGTATTTTTTATTATACACATATTAAACCATTTGTTATGTCCCTCAGATCTCAAAAGTTTGTTCTACTTATTTGTTATTACCATTTTACCTCTTTTATTCCGGTTGAGATAATTCTATTGAACTGTCTTCAAGTTCACTGATCATTTCCTCTATTATCACCAAGTTTCTCTTTAGCTCATTTTAATTACTTCCTTTTTTTATACATATTTCTAATCTCTCCTAAACTTCTACATCTTTGCATGTGTATAGTTTACATTTTCTATTAAATACTTTGGCATTTTTATCATAATTATTTTATTTTATTTTACTTATTTGCTTTTTGAGAGAGAACGAGCACGAGTGGTGGGAGGGACAGAGGGAGAGAGAGACTTTTTTTTTTTTTTAGATTTTATTTATTTATTTGAGAGAGAGCACATGAGAGAGCACAAGTGGTAGAGATGGAGAAGCAGGTTGCTTATCCTTCAGGGAGCCCAATGCAGGGCTTACTCCCAGGACCCTGGGATCATGACCTGAGCAGAAATTGAGTTGAACCACTTAACCAACTGAGCCACCCAGGCACCCCTACCAAAATTATTTTAAAGTACATGTCTGATCATTCTAACACCTGCGTCATCTTTTTGGGTCAGATGCTTAACCAACTGAGCCACCCAGACATCCCAGTATTTTCTTTTAGAAAGCCAGGTTTAGATGTTTAATATTCTTAGTCAGGTTCTCTTCATTCCAGAGGCATGTATATGGTATTTAGCTGCCTCCTGCTATGTTGTTTTATTAGAGAATTCACGAATGTCAATTAAGGGCTCAGTGTCTGTTGGTTTGTTTGTCTAGTTTCCTTTGTAATTATTTGTGCTAGTGAAACAAACCCAGCAGATTTAAAAGGGTCATTTCCATAGCTTGTTATTTCTCTATTTCTCTAGATTGGGTTTGCTTTATGCAGAGTATGATTGTATTATAGTAAGAAGTCAAAACAGTGTTCCCTGCTTACATAATTTTAAGGCATGGGGATTTTGTTATTGCAGACAGACAGCTGTGATATTTGCTTACATAGGCTCTGAGGGATAGTGTTTTTGATATAATAACAATTACGATGACCAAATCAGTGAACACAAGAATGATTCTTCTTCAGATGATAAATATTCACTTTGAATAGATTTTGTCACCAATTAAAATTAACTTTGTTTTAACTCTTCCTAAAATTAGAGTCTTGAGTAGAGTTATGCTGCCAAGGTTCTC